ACAGTCCTGCATCACCTTAAACGGAATTGGGTGAATAAATCTCATAGATTAAGTAGCCTTAGAATGGACGCTATACTCGATGTGATTGCCTCCGCAATCTCTGAATGTTGATTTTTCCAACAACCCTATGAGTAGAGCTGGCGTTTCCATTCAATTTCACACGGTTTTGCTTTCCAAAATTTGGTTTTCATCCAGTGTGGACTTCAGTTTCGACTTGGTAAAACAAGGCAATGTGAAATTCACTGGAAACGTCAGCCATACTCATGTCATTGTGGAAAAATTCTACTACCAGTCCTTCATCGCCCTAAACGAAATAGGATGAATACAACTCGTTTATGTGTTTAGTATTTGTCGGTAATTACAAGCATAGTTAATAAACGAATAGTTAAGTCACCAACACCGCATTTATTTTCAAGTGTGTCATATAAGTACAACTATGTATGATGTGTCCACCCTATTTCGTTTCGATGAGCGAGTGGAAATTGAATTTTCCCACAATTCAATGAGTAGGCCTGGCTCTCCCAAAAGGTATTATCATCCAGGCAGGAGTGGACTTCATAGGCAATGACATTGTCTGATTGTGGGAAAGCCCAACTATCAGTCCTTAAACCACCTGAAGCGACTGACAATTATCCCAGAATGATTGATGGTCTCGAAACCCACTGGACCCGAAAGATGAGGACGAGTAAAGCTTATGCATACAATCGAGAAACAACTTCATTGTCAGTCACAATTTCTCTTTAGACCAGTCAAAGGGACTAACTTTTTCTATATGTGATGCATTCACCCTATTTCGTTTACAATTATGAAGGATTGGCAGTTGAACTTTCCCACAATTACACAAGTTGGGCTCCCAATCCCAATGCATTTCACATAGTCGTTAATTCACACCTCGCCTGAACTCTTCACATTAGCAACCCCAGCGGGACTCGAGTCCGGCTTGTGGTGGTGCAGCGTATGGCCTTGATGCGTTACCCATTATTTCAAACTACCACAACTGCATGTGAAGGAAGGACAGTCCTTTCTCATATCCTAACAATACCACAAGAAGGGTTCGAGTCCCGTCGGGGGTACTGATGAGTCCAGTCCAAGCGAGATCGAAAGATACTCACTACTCCCACTAGGATGGGAATTCCTTTTTTGGAAACAAATCTACCGCAACTCCAATGCAAACATGTGGGAAAATTCACCCACCAGTCCTGCATCACCTTAGGAGAAATCGAGGGAATACCACAACTGCATGTGAAGGAAGTACTGTCCTTTCTCATATGCCAATCTGCGGTGAGGCTGTCAGTGGAGCAATGCTGCATCTTTGGGAGTCGAAGTCATGAGAGAAACCAGTCAAAATTGTTATAAAATGCCAAAAAAACATGCGAGGAGTGAAGCAACTATTCTGATCCGCAAGATGGCAGAAATAAGCATAAACGAATGTTTGTTCTGCTCTTCCTAACGTCACATTCCAATTATCGTATCTCTATTCTTCGCATTAATTATCGTTTCGAGACTATCAGCAACTCAGTAGTATGAGATGTATTCACGCAATTTCTCCTACCGGTCCTTCATCACCATCAACGAAATTGGGTGAATACATCCCATATCCTATCTCTAATTGACATTTTAGCAGACCCTTTTCATTCCATCCCCAAGTATCATAGCCACGCTGTTTGGCATTTCGGGTATGCAACCAGCATCTGCGAGTAAAAGTGCACCAGACCAGAATGCTCGTTTGGCTGGACGGCCTTAGACGGACCGATGAACAAATATTAACATCCACGCGAATTGAAGGAGCATAAAGGTCCCTCAAATGGAAAAACTGCCTCGGCTGTCATAGTCTCACTAAGAGGGCCATTAAGAACACCGAGAATCCTCAGCAAACATACATTCATGTGTACATATGCTTGGATTTTATGATACCGACTAACTCGCAAACCGTCTCACTAAATACATAGATAGACAAATACACATTTAGAACGCGTCTGTTTGCCAATAACTCTTCATTTTTCCACTTCGCTCGACTATCGTCCACGTGCCAATCTGAGCATCCATTCATCCGTGTCCCTGTCCGGCCTAACTTTTGTATGCATGTGTGTATGCTTGTATTTGCATGTCTGTCTCTCTTCACATGTACTGATATGGAATATCGCCTGGATGTTAGTTGAGACGTCCATATCATTTGTAAAGATTGATGGGACTTACTTCGATATGTCTCTCTACAGGTGATTGTGTTTGTGAGTGTGCGTTTGTGTTTGTGTTTGTGTTAATGTTTGCATGTTTGCATGTTTACCCCATGCAAGCATGCACTTTTGCCCAGTCCGCATTTGGTCATGTCTTTTTCAACCCAGTATCACCAGTTTTGACTTTGTATGCTAATTAATCTTTGTATGATCCTTAATCGCCGGTCGACATTAGACCTCCTTCGAGTTGGGTACCAATCGGTGCAAACTATGTTTAAAGTACACGCGCATGATTGGAAAAAGCTCCGACCACCGGGTCCTGTTCTTGGGCCCGTTGGAGGCTACAGTCCAACCCAGTCGAGGCGTCCGAATGAGTCGGTTAACTGGACCGAGAGAGGTCAGTTTCAGCAATTTTGGCGTGGCCTCCAAGATGGAATACTGCTCGTTAATCGGCTCTATCCAAGCACAGCGCTCATGTGAATGGTGTATGTATGGCGTATGTATGCTGAGAGAGTACAATTGACGTCAACGCCTCGAGCGAGATGGAGATGGAGATGGAGATGGATGGCTAGAGAGATCGAGAGAGCAGGAGAGAGACTTGACTAGTTGACTCATTCATTAGTACAACAGTGCTGAAAAGTGTGATGACTACTTACATCCAAAGTGAGTAATATCGTCCACTCAAATGTAAAATACATGTTTGCATCATCAACAGTCCCAGCAGGACAATGCGATTTTGGAGCTCGTCGGGCAAGGTGGTGATGTGTTGCTTCGATGAGTGCGTTTTATATTCGAATCCCCTCATGGGTGTTCATGAGACATGTGCGAAATCGAAACTGCGGTACAACTAAGACATCACTGTGGGAAAATCAAACTATCAGTTTATGTGAACATGGCAACAACAGCTCTTATAAAAGTATTTGGTGGATGTAAAGAAGAGTTGGGTTTTGGAGACCCTTTTATTTGCATTATGTTATTGCATCTTTCAGTTCGTTTGACACAGCGAGAGAAATAGTTTCGTAGATGGGTCTCATCGAAAAGTGAAAAAGGCCTTGA